AAAAAAAAGAAATAAATAGTGCCACCTACAACTTGCTGATCATATAACAATACATATTTGCCAATTTATAAGACAATACATTTGTACTAAAAAATCTTAGTTTCATCTTGTGCTCCAAATCGACTTATCTATGGATTATGTCATCTGAGTTGTCACATAATTTTTCAAAGAAAAATATCCTCAAATAGTAAGAAAATTAATGTGTAAAAAACATTTCATTTTGGGGAAGAGATCGTGTACAAAAAATATAGGACCCTGAATTGAGGATTTTAAACAATTACATGATCGTCAGTATTAAAAATGAACTACATCAGATGTAACTGTCCTAAAGCAGCATGCACTAATATACTTTGTTTGTAATATGCATTGTTTAAATTTGATTACATATATGCTGTTATAAATGACAGCTAGAAGAATAATAAGCATGACAAAGACATATTCCATACATTTTTCTTCTTGATCAAATAAAATATATGCCTCATTATGATAGAGGGAGATGTATTGACAATTGTAATTTGTAATCTGATGATGTTATCTTACTCATGTGCAAGTGTTGTATCATATTCCATTATCAATTAATATCACTAGCTAAGCAATTCCTTCTACTTTTACTTAACACTTCCATTTTCCATTTTTTTGTAGTGGCATTTACCTGCTAATTAAATATGCTGCTAATTAAATATGCTGCAACTGTAGTCAGGTTTTCCAAGCTAACACCGGTTTGAAGTCAAGATCTGGCAGACAAGATCAGATTAGAGAGGCTACCAATAGGGAAATGAGGCTAAGGGTATTATGAATCCAGTACCATGTCATAAAAGGAAATGGTTGAGATTACTTGTGTACATTTCTCAACCAGTGACATCTTTTGAACTTGACAATAGAACCGACCAGCATCTAGCAAGAGTAATGATCAAAAACAATTGCTGCCCAAGGGTAAAAAGACTAAGTGCACTTAAAAAAATAAATCAAAATGGCCATTCTTTAGATTTAACCTAAATGGAGTCTATATAGATATTGTGAACATTTAAACCCTGAAGCAGTATGGTATGCATTCTCATAGTTTACATTTACTAATTTATTGACATTTTCTCTCTTTGACAAGAGCTTAACAGGGGCAATAAGGTAAAAAAAAAAAAAAAGACATGAAGAGCTGAAATCTCTCTTTCTATCTTTCTCTCTCTCATATCAGGCCATATTTTTATTACAAAAAATATGCAATGGAATACATATGCATCTCTCTCTGTATCTCTCTTCAAAAAAGAAAAAGTGGAAAAAGTATTTAGCATTATTGATGCAATTTCCCTATTGCTGGCAATCTGAAAGTAATACTTTTAATATTTATTAACCAGAAGTTATTATAGTTTAATTTCACACAGCATCATTATATGCAGCTAAATGTACATAATTCATTTAAAAAACTTTGAAACAAATTTAATTTTAATTATATTTAACAATCCAGAATGGAAAGGTAACAGAGTTAAAGATAGGAAAAACTTTGCAATGCTGTGTGGAAAGAAGTGAAAAAGCTGAGGTATTAATCTGGCCTTGTCTTACATTCAGTATTGACTTTACACAGATATCTTTCATTGACCTATAGGCTGGCAAATATATTACCTATAGAAATATGGAAAAAGGAATAAATATTGCCTGCTACATTTTGCTGATCATGTAGCAATACCTGTAGAATATGGAAAATGGAGCAAATGTGGCTAGCTACGTCTTGTTGATCATGCTGCAATACCAGAAGAAATATGGGAAAAAAAGAATAAAATTTTGCCAGCTTTACCTTGCTGGTCATGTTACAGTACATGTAGAATATGGAAAAAAGAAATGTGTTGCCACATTTATCTTACCGGTCAAATAACAATACCTGTAGACATAAAAAGAATGTTTCTAGAATCATCTTGCTATCATGTATTAAAACCTACAGAACTATGAAAGAAAGGAATAGTGATAAAAAGATTTTGTGGTTACAACAATATTGTATTTCTGTGCAATACCACCAACCAGACCTTGAAATAATATGCATGTCAAGTTTCAAGGCAATCCTATATACCATGAAGGTGAGAAACTAATTTTAAATAATTATATCAATCAAGCACTTGCTGGGTCATGAAGATCAAATATATAACTTCATTTTTGCTGCTGTGTATTCAGAGTCAAAATTATAATGAAATTATATTTCTGCAATAATTCTAAACGGATCTGACTATAACAGAAATATTTCTCATCTTCAATTGAATCACAACATTCAAAAAATGTAAACTTGCTGCTTTTTATCTAAATTATCTGGTCATGAGCTGATTCCAAAAACTTTGCCTACATATAGAGGAGCAATTAATGAATAACGACAAGGATAAGCAAAAAGGTGCTGTTTCTTTAATGATTTAAATAGGAAATGTGACTGAAGGAAGAACAATTATTGGTGTATATTCAATTAAAAGCAAATTTAAGTGAATTTAAAAAAGATGGAAAACACTACTTTCTGTATGCTCTGGTGATTACCTTTATCTGAGTGTTTCTATTCATTTGAAATTTTCATTTACTTTATTACACAAAGGCACATTATGTTAACACCAAATATGTTCTCAAAAAAAATCTCATTCTGCATGTATTATCTAATATATTAAGTTCAGGAAGATTTGTTATTTATCTTACACAGCCAATGATGTAAAATCAAGTATGTCCAAATGACATCATTACATAACTCGTGTTGCAAACTGGTAAAATATTATCAATTAACTTAGACAAATTTTTTTTTAAAGTCAGAGTTGCAATATAAATAACAAGCATTAGATCTTTGGAGCTACGTTACTGACTGCAACCACATTCATATTACACTTACTACAACAATCAGTTATACCGCACCTATCATCATATTTTTTTTCCCTTAAAATGTTTAATTTTTTAAGCATAAAATTCATAATGACTATCTAATACACATTTAAGCCATTCTCCATCCATAAAGCTAAATTGATAATTTCTGAGTAAAAATTAAACGCTCTGAAGTCAATTTATATCAATATAATAAATTGTATGCTTATATACTGATTTAAAAATATTATGGTTAAAATATGGCAAATAAAATACCATTTACATGCATCCTGATTTTATATTTACAAGGACAAGGACTAACTATGCAAAACACACAAACACATATATTTATGTGATCATGATTTTTAACTTAGCTTTGAATATTTTTCAGTAATATCGCTACTTTGTCTGCAATGTGGCAGTTTATAGTGATGTCTAGCAGAATATAACAAACTATCAAAATTGCTTAAATCAAATGTAATTTTGACTTTTATTTCTTTTAAAATAATTACAGCAGAAATGACAATTTTAGTGCTTAATATATATATATATATATATATATATATATATATATATATATATATATATATATATATATATATATATATATATATATATATATTATCTCATACTTGCATATACACAACATAAATATTAATAAAACTGTTTATTTATCCATAAAAGTTTATTAAAATCTGTTCAACAGAGATATGCATCTTTACATCCATTTATATGTATATTTATGTATTAAAATATCATTAATCTTTGATTAATATCTTAATGATTATGTTACATACATTTGTATTTTGTACTGGACATTGTATAATCACAATCAATGTGTACCTGACCAGAGGCATTTATCTTCTAAATATGATGATGTATCACTAATATTTCTCCATAAGTGTTAATTAATATTGAAATAATCATCAATGGAGGTAAACATTTTTATTTGGGTCTGGGTCAAGGTCATCAGGTTTCCATTTGAAAATTCCTAAATTTATTGACAACTATGAATATTCTAAAGAGGAAGCTGACCTAAATCCAGGCCATTTTATGTCTCTTAGTTTTTTTACATAATTTTGTTTACTTGAGAAATTACTCATTCTTGCCATAACATCTTGAAGAAGAATCTAACTGTTGTGTTCAGATTTTCTTTCAGCTGAATTATTTATTCAAATTATTCACTGGAAATACAAAGTGCTCGACAATAATAATCTTGGGCATACAGAATAATTTGGCGTTATAGTGAATTCAGATGAGGACATTTTTTTATTACTGTGATACAACAAATAACAACAAATAGCTTCACACATTGTCACAATCCAAGCTACTGGCACATTAGTGTATTTAAGACTAGTTATATCGAACACATGAAATATTGGAACTTATTTGGAATACCACTGGAATTCAGTTGAACTTGATCAATGTAATGATTAATTGCAAATTAATTTACAATATGAAAGTTCTTATTAACTTTCTGCTTAGTATTCTTGCTCTTTTTTGGTACTTAGTTTGTGATCATAGAGTAGTAATACAATATATATATATATATATATATATATATATATATATATATATATATATATATATATAATGCTATCTGGCATTTCTGTGCACCTAAGGTTTTCATTCACCAATAATAAAGCAAAATGCATATCAAATTCGAGCAACTGACAAAAATAAAATACTGCAATGCGGACCAATTAAAAAGAAGCAAATGTCAACAGAAAATTCTGTTCAAAATAATATTAATTTTGGACACAACGGATACCATCCCTGATTTTTTACTCATGATAAGTTGGCCTAATCTGTGCATAGCTTTGAAAAGATGTCATGTTTATTGAACAGGCAATGGAAATAAAATTCATTACTTCGTACACTTTCTGTCAGCATTTCAGCCGAGTATTTAGGTCAAGTTTATAGCTGGTTGTACAAAGTTCAACATGTGTGTATGTGATTTGGATTTTTAACATAGCTTTCACAATTTTTTCAGTCAAATCACTATATCTGCAGTGTGGCAGCTTATAGTGATGTCAAGCACTAGGGCATCATGCCACAGACATATAGTATGATGTCCCACCCAGTCACTTTATCCTGACACCAGGCCGACCTGTCCTAACACTAATCTCTTAATGCTAAACACTAAGCAAGGCAGCTGTTAGTACCATTTTTGTAAGCCTTTGGTATGACTCAGCCAGGGATTGAACCCACAACCTCCTGCATCCGAGGCAGATACTCTAACCACTAGGCCACCAGAGTGGTCCAAAATTTAACCTAACAATGCCAAAGCAGACTAAACTGATCAAGGAAAAAAATTAGCAAAGTTCAACATTTTTTAAAAATTTATTTGCATGATTCTAAAAGATACATAGTAAATAGCATTTTCTGGGTTACACGTTCAAGGTCATGCAGTGGGTCTTCTGTTGACATTTAGAAATCACATTTTTATGTTTAGTCAGGGTAGAAATGTGGGATACTTTTGTACACTTTATGAATATTAGTTTCTTAATAAAAGGACGATTCTTTTTTCTTTATACAATTGGATATTTGACCAAAAACTACACTATCGAAAGTTTACAGTAATTTTTCTTTGCACAGAGTTACCTGTCGCATAGAATTGACCGAAATGGTGAGAAAAAAAAAATCTCTCTCTCAACAGTTGGGATAAAAAAAACAACACAAATGCTGATAATTGTGTGCAACTAGTTTCGCATATAATACATGCTTCTTCAGGCACAAAATGTTTTGAAATAAACAGATGACATCTTTATAGGCTAAAATAACAATTATGTCATTATGTAATATTTATGAATCCAATAAGTTTCTTTTTTTAGTCTATTTATGTCTCCATGCACAATATTTGCATGAAAGAAAAATCGAGTAGACAGTGATTACTTGTTAAAATGTGTAGAAATATTAGAGGAAAACTGAGGATCTTTATAGTTTCTAATATGAAAGCGCTGATTATTCATTCTTTTAGCAACTTGTTGAAGTGAGTGTTTGTCCAACAAATAAATCACGTCAGTTGATACGTAGTTAGTGTTATAGAGAAAATGTCTCTTTTGCATTAGCGCTACTAAAAAGAACTACTTTTCAATTATATTTGCACATTGAGATCACATGTACTTGACGCGACCCGTTTTGACCCGTTCTGACATTTGACCCTCTCCCTTATACTATATATATATATATATATATATATATATATATATATATATATATATATATATATATATATATATATATATATTACAGAGAGGGTCCAATGTCAGAACGGGTCGCGTCGAGTACATGTGATTGAGAGCACCGGTGTCTACATTGAGATGAGATTTTTTTTATTTTTTTGTAAATTCTTGGGTCTCCTATAGGCAAGAATATGTTTATTGTTGTAAACTGATTTATGCTGTATGTTTATTTCTAATTAAAAAATCTTGCAAATTCTTGGGTCTCCCATAAGCAGGAATAAGTTTATTGTTGTAAAGTGATTTTACGCTTCTCTCGACAGTTGGAATTACTTGTGTATTTCTGGGTTTCTAGTAGCCGCCTGTACAAGAAGCAAATAGGCACTCGATTCTGGGGTAATCCTACCTTGTAAGGTCTATATCTGGGTATTCATTCACAATCAATAAAGGCGAATATGCTCAAAGAGTCATCAAGTGATTTTAGATCTGTTCATTCTCACTGAATTACCTAACACAACCTTCCAGTGGTTATCGAACTTACCTTTTATGACACTTTTCCATAGTGGCGCTGTTATCGGGGTCAGACTATTTCCTGGAACAAATTGAAACTAACCGGAACAAACAAAAATATCGGAACAAAAAGCACAAAAAAAAATATTAAAAAAAAAAATAATAGATAATACCGAAACAAAGGTTGAAACACAAATTTTACTTACTTTTATAACTTTTTATACGTTTATTTCAGTGAATTTCAATAGTTTGATAGTGATATTGGTTATTTTATTTTCGTTTTCTTATGTACTATTGATACTTAGCTGTATTAAATTTATTAGTACTAAAAGTACACTACACTGTATATATTATGATATGTTAATCACATACACTGAATTCTGTAAGTTAGATACCCTGGTGAATCAAACTGCGGCTACTAGTCATACATCATAAGTTGATATAATATGATTTTTTGATTGTTTAAAAACACTGCTCATTTTCTTGTGAAAACACAGACTTATAAAATAATCAGATTCATATTTTATTGCTCAGCATTTCAGAATTTTAAGGGAAAAAATATTATTAAAGAACTGTATATATGACACAGAAAATTATAAATTATGAAGGTAAAAAAGCAAAGAAAAGAATTTAAGAGAATTAATGAATCCATGCTAAATCTCTCATCTAAATGATTAATTGTTAATGACTAAATTCTGTTAGTCAAAAGGCTGCTGCAATTTTATCATCGAAATACCAACTTTCATATATACTAAAATTTTACCCCTTTAAAAGAATACAATTTTAGTTTGTTATCTCCAGATTTATACTTCATTTCCATATGTTGCAGTATTACATTAGTTTATTTAGAAGTCTTTGAAGCTGAAAAGCAGTTTTGGAGAAGGCAACCAAGTCATTTGCATACAGCAGTATGAATAAATTACCTAATTCTGTGATACACCATTAGTCTGGTTGGAAATATGTGTCTTTAAAAATTGTTTACAAATAATCAAAATAAAATATGTGATAAAACACAACCTTGCCTTACCTTCACTGGACAGTCAGATATTTATATCAAGCTTATCTTATAGGGGTTTTGATATAATAAACATTTTACTACTATTTTCATTTATTAATTTATGATTAGGTGAATCTTTCATGTCACTATGGACAAATGCATTTTCACAATCAACATAATAATATTAAAAATGATAATAATAATAATGACCGTTTTTTAATTGTTCACTGAGATTTTGTAGTTGTACACTCCGCTGTCGGTTGTATGAATGCACACACAACACTCATAAAGGTATTGCCCAGAAATAATTTTTAAATCATCAGATGTCAACAAATCATACTCTGTATGCTTCCAACACTTGCACTTTTTACAAAAATGGAGCCAACACCACAATTAGAACCATGTACAGCACTAGGCAGGGATTTATTTAGCAGAATCACTAGGCATTTTGTAATTTAAACTTAAATAATATGTTAGTTAATTATAAACAAAAATATAATTTAAAGAGATGTACTTGATATTCAGTGAAGCTAACATACAGGAAGTTTTTTTATTGATATACCAATATTTATGTATCCCCTAGTATTAAAATGCATCATTTGGTATGTTGCGTGCTTTTAATTGGTTAGTTATTTAAATATATACAGGTGTTACACTTTGGGGAATTATTTTTCAAGTTAGGAATGAGAATACTTACTTTCTGTGATGACCTTGCATTTTAGTTATTATTTTGTCAGGAATTGTGTGCCTTTGTTATACGTTGTCAAACGTTAACACACATGTTGAGTCTGCCAACTATGTTCGATAACTCAGTAAGACATACTTAGAGATACAGCATTTAATTTACATAGTTTATGCAATTAATTCATAAAAATACAAGACATTTAAAATGTGATTTTGTCTGACTTTGTTATTAACAAAACTATTTAAATGCCCAATTTGTAGTTTTTAAATGGGATACACATGTAACCCTAGTCTTTTGGCATAGTTGATTTATTCATCAGTCTGATAATGCAACAAAAATACACATTCCTAATCTGACTTTTTCACGCTTTGTGTACCTTTGTTATGTTATGTCAAATATAGGCAAAAAAAAAGATAAAATCTGATACTGATTATAAGTTAACATGTATTGGAAAATTGCTTGGTCTGTCCATAATCAGTGAAAAGAACAATTTATAAAATAATAACAAACATTTAAAATGATTTGTGAGGCTTTGTGTGGCTTTGTCAGGAGTAGCAGTATTCAATACTATTTGGCATTATCTCAAATGCATATTTATATAGTCAGTGTTAAAGTCCCCTGATTAAAAAAACTTTTGTTTTGAAAGGCACTGTTCAGACAACAAATACAAATTTTATCATTTTTCTGTTTCAGTGTAGTTAAAAATGGTGATATTTGTCATATGCTCTCTCTCTCTCTCTCTCTCTCTCTCTCTCTCTCTCTCTCTCTCTCTCTCTGCAGTTTAAAGAGAATAAATGGAATATAGAAGGAAAATTGGTTTCTTAATTGATAAAAAAATCACTGTAACCAACTTTTGTTGGTTTTGTCAAGTAAGATATAATTCAGGTACAAGGCCATTCCATATATATTATGTCTAATCAGTTCATTCATTATGTACAAGCATCAGCCAAAAAAAAATAAATAGTCTGTGAAATACAATATTGTCTTTTATGCAACTTATCAATTACCAGTAACATGTTCCTGTAAAAAAAGTAAATTATTGCAAGAATATACTTAAAATGCTAGAAATCGATGCAAAACAACGTCCATTATTTTGGTGAATCTTGTGATTATTTATGTGATACATACAGAAGACAGAATTACAAAACCTTTTATAATTATATTTAACATACATGTAAGGGAAACAAGAAAATAGTATTTTTCACTTATTTATTTATTCTATTTACTTTTGGTCCGGTATTTTCTGCTTGTTCTGGTAATTTCAGTTTGTTCTAGGTTGATACAATAAGGTGGCGCTCTACAGTTTCGTATTTAGCATTAAGAATTTTAAAGAAAAAGAGTTTCCCAGGGTTTCCTCACTAGTTATACTGGATATTTAAAAGAAACTTTGTATATCTTAGGTATTGTTCAAAGAACCTTTAGTTCCCTTTATTTTGATGTATGATTGATGGGTGTAATAAGGGTTAGAGAGTATACAGCTTGGCCTTACTCCAAATGTGCATCTTTCAAAAAAAAGTGCTAGCTCTACTTGCTCATTTTTCTTCTCGAACTTCAGAGATAAATTGTAAAAAAAAAAAAAATAGAGCCGATAACTTTTTTTTACATTTTATGTATTTGGTAATTCATTCATTGCACTTTTAGAAGCTGGTAATGTCTAGTTTGGCAAAATTCATTTTCCATATATTAATAGCTGTCAAGAATTGTGACAAATTCAGGTTGATTTTTGGAGCACAAGGGAGCAGTCATTTTAGTTAGCAGTGTCCTAATATCATTTAAAATTTCCAAAAGTACGATATCCAAAGAAATTTCAGCCTTATTACATGGAAGTAGTATATAGGTATGACATCATTCTCTCCACTATGCATGTTTAAAGGTCATAGGTCAAATAG